CATTATACATCAGAAGTATGGGATAAACTGAAATTAATTATGGGAAAACATTACACTTAGACTCTTAAAGAAAAATAAACCAAACAGGCATTTAATGTTGCCTGAAGGAAGGTCCCATAGCAATCACATTTGCAGAATCCACAGGTCGGCTCTTCAGTCAGAGCACAGCGCTGGCAGCTAAATCGTCGGATTACGAGGAAATCGGGACCATTACTTAATGGCTGCATAATGAAACGCGTGGGGGATAATGGATTAAATTTACGCACTGTGATCAGTGTTTTACACTTGATTGGATATATCGGAGACGATAACCAATCTAATATCTGTCTAATTTCTTAATCATCTCATTTCCCCAATTATCATCTTAGTTACTTAACATCAAATTTAAAACTTAGATATGTTAATACATATTTTTAAACCGAATAAACAATCAATTAAAACAATTTTAAAACTTGAGACGTTACGTAGTCTCTAGTCAGTAATGAGAAATTGGTTTATAATAGATGGCATAATTACATCCTGTGCGTCTAGTTGCTCAACTACCTGTCTCAGTGTTTGCAAGCAAAAAAATCTGTCTGATGTTAATTCAAAAAAACTTGAATTAACTCAGGCTTCGAACCTAATACTCTTTTTTTATACCAGCTGCGTCAGCGACTTCGTTCGCGTAGAATCATTATTTTGGGCGTCCAAATTTCGTTTTCAAACCTCTTGCTTTCAAACAAACTCTTTAGCTCTATATATTAGTATAGATAGATATATTACGCCTTGTCGTATAAGGTTAAAATGAAATACAAATTTCAACGGATTACATACCAGCTTGTAACGAGAAAATTATGACTAGCGAAACTGGCTGACAGAAATGAATGTTCCCGCCAATTCTCAGCTAAATGCAAGTTCATATTCAAAGCCCTGCAAGCGACAGCAGAGCTCATGAGGTCATAAATTATAATATAATAATAAAATATTTATTGTCTCTCTCTTAATAATTAAAAAAAATGAGGCTATCCATCAATGAACGAAGAGTGGTCAAGAACACATCCATACTAAATCACAATCTTTGGTGTAGAATAATGAAAAATATGAAGCGAAACCCGGATTTATTCCGCTGTTATAAATTAGAAAAGTTATTGATTTAACAAAAACAACGTCATATTACCCACTCCGTAGCTCTATGGTTACGTAAAACCTGTCTTAAGTTTACGCGAATAGTACACATTTGAATAGAACACTAATGGTTTAGAATGCGAAATATATTTGTTAAACTTATTTACACGGGAAACGTAAGGCCGTAGTTAAAATAATTTGTAAATCCTTACTTCCTTACTAATATTATAAATGCGAAAGTAACTCTGTCTGTCTGTCTGTCTGTTACTCTTTCACGCCAAAATTACAGAACGGATTTAAATAAAATTTGGAACACATATGGTCTAGACCCTGAGAAAGAACATAGGCTACTTTTTATTGCGAAAAGGGGGTTGTAAGGGGTAAAAAAGGGGGATGAAAATTTTGTATGGAAATTCGTGAAACTTTCTTCTTTGGCTTTTTGAGAATAGGAGTGGGAGTGGGGGTGGGAGTGGGAGTTAGAGTAGGAGTGATGTAAGGTGAGAGTGTTGCGGCAAAGTAGCACTTGCAACATAGATTGGCTGCGATAAATAAGCAATTACATAATTTAATAAACAGCCTAAATTCTACCCCAAGTCACTATTCCACGCGAACGAAGTCGCGGGCACAGCTAGTATATAATATTTATTTTTATGTTATTAATCCAAACCGTCAGTCAATGTAAGTAAGGTTTATGTAACACTGCAATAAGCTGAGAGATTTTGGGTATCATCTATATAAAAATTATCACTGAAACAAACTTTACTCTGTCCGCCCCTTGTAGGTAATTTAGTATAATGTAATGTTGTATAGTGTAATACCTACAAGGGGCGGACAGAGTAAAGTTTGTTTCAGTATATGTGTATTTAAATACTATCTGCAGTTTACGCGAGCAGTACACATTTAAAACACTCTCGAAATAAATTTCAAACAAGTTAGCTAAAATATATCGCGTTTGAAACCGTTAAAGTGTTTTATTTAAATACTTTTTACTTATTTATTTCACAATTTGGTATACAAATATACACAATAAAATTTTACAAACAAAGCATGCACCGGGCGATCATGTCGCTTATAAGAGATCTCTTTTAGGCAATTCATCTAGAAATACAAGAAGTGCAAGAAATGCAACACTAACTACCTTATTATACTTGACTACTGTCTAATTTATTTCATTAATGTTAGCCCTTAGTAAACTATGAAACTACAAAATCTATTTTAGCTACGGTTGGACTTTCACTTGAAAAATTACAAAAATATAACAAGATATAATATTTCCCGGTAATCTTGGCGTGTTGAGCGATACCGATCTCTTGGACGTAAAAGGATGCTCCCTAGAGGGTTATGGCCTAAAATGCTGCTCACGAAAAATATAACCACCACAAGCTGTTTATGGTACTATAAATTCCAGTATCCCCAAGACTTGGTCTTAAACCAAATAAATAAAATCTGTAAATATTTGGGCTAATTTCAGCCCAGATATTTACAGATTACAGTTATCAGTTGTAATCTACCCTCATGTTAAAACAATTTTAACATGAGGGTAGATTACAACTGATCCATAGACGTGTGTAATATCTCTTTAAACACTAAAACCTGAAATTTCATATAATAGAGATAAATAATGACACGGGTGGGATTCGAAGCCATAACCATAGCATTCAGTTTCAGTTTTCTGACGAGCCACTGTTTGACAGACTACAGTAGTAATGTAAAATAAATAAATATAAATGATTACCCAGTGTAGGTATAGTAATATACTAGAACAACAGTTCATAAATAAATTGTATACTCTCAGTACTGCTATAGCAGTGGTCAAAAGCGGTCAAGACTCATCTTAGCGCTCATTTTCGAAATAATACGTGTGACATTGCTTGAGACGTAATTGAAAAGAGCCTGGTCATAACGCACTGAATACTAACACAAGACCACCCGAGACGGTCACACAATATGGGGGATAAATTTTTGTACAGATGTCTTTTAACAGTGTGTTCAAATAAATACATGGCATCCTAAACAAAAGAAAAAATTGTGGCAACATGCGTATCACTGCTAAATAAATTATAAAATATACTTAATCATATATAAACTCAAAAGCTACGCTTAACTATGTTTTTTACAAATTAATAATTTAACTTTAATACTTTTCAATCTATATAGGCCCTCATATGAGAATTTGTATGGTAAAAAAATGCTTGCTTATTTTTTTTTTGGACATGTATACATTTTTAAAATAAAACTACTATTAGTTAATTCTAGTAAGATATAATTAATAAATCAATATCAATAGACATCTCTAGTCAAAGTCAGATGATTGCTAGCTGAAAAGAATTTGTTGTTAATTTAAACAAAAATAAAGTTCCCCTTTGTACTTGCTCGCGTTCTGGAAGCTTCATCAAACTTTATCTGGGATTCATTTCCATTTAGAGAATGGAATAAGGTTAAGTAGGAGTTAGGGGCTGGTGTAAAAAGTGAATGAGAACGATATATTTGCACGACACAATATATCATTGGAATAACAGCGATAAAGATTTTGATATGCAAGCGATATCGAACAGCTAACGAAAAACAACATCAAAGCGACGTGTTATCGCATGTACTTAAGCATTTGAGTTTGCATAAGACGCACAATGAAATAAAATTCTTTCAACTAGTATTTAAAGGCAAATTAGTTTCGTATTATTTTAACTATACTTCCCGTTGTGTCCATAAGTACTAACATCTGAATTCGGCATATTTCAATTACATTTAAGCCTTTGTAGGTGTTAATAATATCATTAATGACTCTTTTTCTGTCATCAATTGAGCCAAGTACGTCATACGTAGTAACTTCTCAGCAGTATAATAGATATTACAAAGTAACAATTTTCATTGCAAATTATGTAAGGCTTTCACGGCCAGCGTGAACGCTGGAAACAATAAGTCAGCATAACATAGAAAGACAATGTTATGCTGAAGCATAACATTGTCTTTCGGGCTGTTCGGCAGACGTGAGCGAGAAGAGGTTCTCATCATATCATAATTCTTCGAGCAATCGAGGAGTTAACATCTCCTGATGATGCCGTCCACACGTGTCGGCGAAACGTCGAGAACCTCTTCTCGCTCACGTCGGCCGAACAGCCCGAAAGACAATGTTATGAATTTTCATTGTACTCTATTAGCAATAATTAATCAAACGCTTATGACTTAATACCTGATGTAACACGAGCCGCAATCTGTTTTATAAAAGATTGTTTTGAATGCATCAAACGGTTTTAGCAGTGTCTGTCCTATATGATGTCGTACTCATTGTGATGCAGTGTAAATGTGACAAAGTAAATATATTTTAAGTATCAGGTATAATTGTAAACTTACTTTATACTGTCTATAGTTTACGCGAGTAATACACATTTAAATAATACATTTTAACGGTTTAAAACGCGATATATTAGTTAAACTTAAGTTAAGCCGTGACCACGGCTGCTGCAAAGCATCCGAAACGTCGGGTCGAAGATAAAAATCATTTTCAAATAAGTTTAAGTAATATATCGCGTTTTAAACCGTTACAGTGTTTTATTTAAACTTATTTTATGTGAAAAATATACATAAAGGTAAAAAGTATACATCAAACACCCACATATTTGTATTGCGGAACAAGCATAAAACAAGATAAATACGGGATATTTTATTTAATTATCAACCTGTTTCTTTTTTAAACAGCTTTAACGATCTACTGTGTGTAGGCTTTAAAAACTTCAATTATTTATTCTCTCAGGTTAACAAGAGTTTATAGCTTATAGCCTGAATTTAATCACAAAAAGAAACAATAACTGGAAAGGACAAACACTTATTCAATATTTATTAATAATCTTATTCCTCACTACACAAAATCATTTCATTTCTAAGTATTGTCCACTATCTTAATTCAAGCCTGTCACTTGCTTGATCCAGGGCGTATAAAAGGCAACATTGACATAAAAACCTAAACGGTTCTGCGCACACGATTGTCCACCATAAGAGGCCAGACCGACAAGTACGTCACCTTGAACTAAAGGACTGCCAGAGTCTCCCTGAAATGAAGGAAAATTCACTGATATTTTTATCTATATATGGCTTAGTAACAAAATAACTATATTATTAAAATAAGGCAAGAACATTGTCGTATAGTAGGTTTCAGTAATGTCTGTTGTTTACACGAGTAGTATACATTTAAATAAAACACATTGAAGCTTTAAAAACACGCCACTGTTTCGTCGCCGCATAGCAGTCTTTACTTTGACATTATTTGCCCTCCATCTTCAGTCCACGGCTACTGCATCCGAAACGTCGGGCGGCAGTTAAGACAAATAAATAAGATATATATTTCGCAGTTTAACCCGTTAGAAGTGTAATAATTATATTAAGAATGTAATCGAACGATCGATATGCAGTAAACGAACCCGTTGTTCAACATGCTGCTTTGTACCTGTTCCAGTACCAAGTTGTGGATACTAGGGTTATATATAACAGTAGTAAACTTACAAAGCACATTCCTGGCTTGTTCCCCATTCTCGTAGCGCAAATGTTGATTTTTGAAAGTTCATTTTTATACCGTTGCACATATATATGATATTGTTGTGGGATGAGTGAAATACATTCGTTTACTGTCAATCTTTGTACGTCCATTCTACGTAATTCTCTTGACATATTACCAGTCTGTAAAATAATAGTTTCAATGAAGGCATTCGTTTTGTTTTGGGATATGTTTCTTAATTATCTATATTTTTTCTAATCGTAACTACTGATATCTGGTCAAAAATGCTTTACACTAAAAAAAATTAGAGAAATCCTTACTTCTAACTCCTGCAATTAAAAAAGCTTAAGAATTAATCGAATCTAGCACTATAACGGGAACAGTAGGCAAAGCCCAATGAACCATTTTAAACCTTGAACCTTTCGTTTGTCGTAATAATCCTATTTTTTTAAAGATAGAGGAAGACAATCTAGCATGATAGTAGGTAAATTGCCCCAGCCTATAGCATCTGAACAATGTGCGCTATCGTCCAATTTTGGCTTTGGATATTCGGAAATCCACAGACTGAAACTGTGGACGGTGGCTTGTGACCGGGACGAAATTTCGATATTCCTACCAAGCCTATATGATTATTAGCCTTATATTAATATCTAATGCCTGGAATCTTACCTCATCAGTCCCCCTGCCCACAAACACCAAACGAGAACGGTTGTAATTCATGCGCGTGGGCAGTTTTACCGGCTGCACTTTGTCAGAGAATCTTAAAGGTCTCCTCAATCGAATAATAGCCACATCGTTGAAAGGTATACCATCCAACTTAAAATACTCCGGGTGTAGTGTAATAGACTCTATGTGAACAATTTGACTGTTCTGTGTAGTTTCTCCACCGACGTAAGCTTGTCTGACTCTCTGTCGAGCACTGTTACAAATAAAATCGCTTTGAAATCAGGGTTTAGTAGGAAATTCTGTTATAAAAGGCTGATAATCAATTTGGTGTACAAAAATATATGATGACCTGGTGGCAATGGAGCCCACGATCGCTTGGTTATTATATACTATACGGCCATTTATATACTATACGGGCCACAACCCGACGATTGTGGCCCGACACAATTTCAAAAACATCATTAAAACAAAGTTCGACTTTAATCAGCTTAGCAGTTTTGGTGTGAAAAAATAACAAACGTCGATATAACAAGCATACAACGTAAAATCTCTAAGGCTCGATGATCAATATAGGCGACCCAAAATTACTACTTGTAAATACTGTATATGAATGTTGAACAAAATAAAACACGCTAAATGGATTTGGTTTATGTGAAAATTACGAATACTATAAAAACTATTTTGTTTACCCGAGAAGTAAAGATTAAATAATACACTTTTAAGTGATACTGAACAGCAGCCGTCGCCAAGGTAAAGCATCCGAAACGTTAAGTCGTAGTTAACAGTAAATGAACTTATACATTTAGTTTTAAATCTTAAGTATATTATTATATCTTATAATATTTATTCATAGAAATATTAAATGGATGGTAGGAACGACGAAACGAAATTCTCGAACGGGTCTACTGACGAGTCTGGAACGGTCCAATATTTAGAAGCGGTCAACATAGAGTCGGTAGCACATCTGTGCACCGCTTTAAATGTTATATAGGTCGGTATTTCACATCGTCTAAATTAATGGAACCCCGTGTTTGTCTGTCTTTCTCTATTTATAAAAATTCAAACCTGTGCTCTTCAAAGCAATGTGCGGCCGTGATCAGATATCTTTCCGATATTATAGCAGCCCCGCAGTGCACGAAACCGGCGAAGTATGGATGATCCGCTATGACTGCGCGATCGCCATAAAGTATGCGCGCGAAAATATCTCCATCTAGCAAAAACAATATATAAAAAAAGTTGAAATTGCAAAAAAACTACACTATGTAATTTTATACTTGTAGATAGAGGTTTCAGGATTGTAATCAATAGAGAAAAAGTTACATCACTAAAGGCACGAATTTGCCTGTATGGTCGCTGAAAAAGGCATTGTTTTAATTTCACCATCATTTTTCTTGTTGTATCCTTCAACGTCGGAGTTAAAATTACTTTATTTAAAAACCAAATTCTACTATAAACAGTTTAGCCGTTTGGGTGCAAAAAAAAAACAAATATCAAAATAACAACAACGTAAAATTATTTGTAATTATTTAATTAATACACTACTGGTGTGACACGCCTATGGCTGATCTTTTTTTTATTGCCATAAGGTTTTAGTTTGGATCCCGGAAAAAAAAATATTGGGCAGGTCACAGAACTCTGAATTACTTGCTTGTATGAAAATAGGCCAATGCGACACATAAAAAGGTACCTCTTAAAAGTAATACAAAAAATTCATACAAGTGAATTCTGTTTAACTTAAGTGGGCCTTAAGATCGGAATTACCTTCTAAGAATACTTACGCTGCGCACGTATTTCTAATAAATTAAAACAGAATAAAACAAAAGCAAACAATTTGTCACACATGTTGTGAGAATGTTACAATTAGATTAATATTAAGACAGTTGTTTTTATCCATATTTATGTTAAATATTTCAAATAAAAATTGGTATTCGTGTAATGATCGGTATGTTTTTAAGTACTGGAATAATAAAAGTAAAGACTTCCAACATTTTAACGATGTAGACAAAATTACGTTTGCACGTGAGCTATCTTTGAAACAGCAATTATATTAATATGTGATACGTCATTACATATTTGTTCAATAACAATGATCGTAAAATAATAGAACAAAATATTTACAAAAATCCACTCTTTTACTATGACATACATTAGGATAATATATATTGGTCGTCAAACGAAGACAAACAATGTATAAATGATGTTATTTTTTGTTATAATAGAGGAGGACTCCAGCTGTATATTACGTGTTTGATGCGGTGTCGATCTAATTTGGCTATTTGGCTTTGGATGATATCATCAGAAGATTCAGACCGAACAGCTTGAAAACGCAAGTAGCTTTTCAAAATGGCCGCGAAAGGATTTTTTTAAACAATACGGAATCCCTCCTCGGCCAAGTGAACTTGCCACCGTGCTTTTCCTAATTATACATTTTATGGCATAGACGTCTTATCGATATAGCGTTAACAAAAAAAAATTAAATACAGAGAAAATAAGTTATTTTTTATGTCTGATGAAATAAAATATTTTATCAGTTTAAAACGTGAAATAAATGTTTTTATAAGACCGCGGTCGCTGTAAAGCGTCCAAAATAAATTATTCGACTTACATAAAAAACAGACATTACTTTTCACATACAACTTAGTGTTTACCTCCTAAAATTACACATGATTCTTCATATAGTTTTATAACATCAAAAAGACCACATGATCATGTGGTCCTCTTAAGCTTTAAGAACATAAGATACCTAGTACTATTTCCTCACAAATACTTATTACAAACGAATGATAAACGTCAGATAATCCTTATTGGAAACTCTTAGAAATAGGTATTTAATTAAATTTCATAAACGTACAAAATAATCGAATGATCTCTATAGCTTTTTCCGATATATTTCAATTGTTCGAAGCCAGGGACCGTAAAGACATAAATGTAACCAAAGGAAATGAGATTTCGCCAATCAGACAGGACTTTTGCTACGGGTATTTTTATAACATAGAAATCTAATAAATTTAATACGGTATCTATATGAGAATACGTACTCTTCTACGAAATAATTTTGTACGCGAGAGGAAGAGAAACGTAAGAAAATATAGTTATTATATTAATTATAACTTTACTCTATACTAGCTGTGTCAGCGATTTCGAACGTAAAATAATTGTTTTGGGCATCCAAAATTATTATTGCAAAGCTCTTTCTCAATTGAAAAACATCTTTATAAATGTAGGCTCTCCACGACATCGGTCATGTCCCGTCGCTAGCGACCCGTTGTTCGGGTGCCGTCGTTCTTGCAAGTTAATCTTAAAAGATAGACGTATACTGTCGCGGACATTGTTTTAGATCATTTGAAGAGAAATCATTCTTATGTACATATTTTTTGGGTTTCTTAAGTCGTTTTCGCAGCGAACGCATCTGAAACACACAGAGATGATTTCCCCCGTTTTGCCACATTTCCTATATCTTCGCTTCTATTTGTCACAGCGCAATGTTGTATAGTGTACAGCCATCCTCGATAAATGCTCTAACTAACACAAAAATAATTTTTCAATTCGGAGCCGCAGTTCCTGAGGTTAGCGCGTTCAAACAAACAAACACGGCAGCTTTATATTTGTATAAATTACACAAAACAACCACGTGACAGCTATAGTATACTTTTAATTACCACATCTACGGATTAGATTTGAGTCATGTTCTGTCACTATTTATACAATAGATTTATACATATGAGTCAAGGATTTAAGAATTTGATGAATTAACCTAATAATGACTTCACTAACTTTTTTTAAAGGATTTGAATAGGAAGAAAGAAAAATCATTGTTTTTTATCAGGAATTATAAAACTCATTAAAATATACAATGTAGTGGTTTTTATTGAACTGCGCCACAGAAAAAAAGTAATTTTAAATAAAGCGACAAAAAGTTATGTGTAAAAACAAAATTAATTGAGTGAAATTTCATTTCTCAAATTACCAATTCTTCTGTAGGTCGATATTATCTAGCCCATGCCCCATATTAAGGGAACCGGATTTCACTTATTTGAATTCCTTGCAATTTTAAGAGCATTCAGGTCAGTTTAACCAAGCATGTCCGTTTGCCAAGTCTGTCTGTCTGTTTAACCCAGCCGTTGTCCAAAACACGTTTTTCACCAGACGTCAAAGCAAGGCAATATAATAATCATTACGAGTAATTATTATTGAATAGAAAGTTAGAATTCCAACATGGAGGGGCAATAATTTGTGTCCATATCATCAACTACGCCGATGCCCAAAATATTTGACATAAGAACAGGGTAATTTCTCATGAAATTCAATGCTTAACTAGTTGTGTAGAGGTTTTGGAATAATATTTTATATTTATATACTAACAAAAATAATGCCATTGTGTTCTATTCTATCTACAAAACATTAATTAATGTAAGTGTGGCAAAAAAGTCTTTTATCTTTTTCATCTCGGCATACCTTCATTGTTAGAAAAAATGATTTCTGAATTACAGTGGATAAAGCGTTACAAGCCAATTGAAAGTATTTACACAACGTAATTACATTGGAATTAGGATAATAGTCGAGACGTTAACCAATAAAAATTACTTATTATCACCTCAAGAATATTACAAATATAAGATTTGACGTAATACGGAATGCGTGATTACAGCTTACATTTTGATACATAAGCTATATCAATTATTAAGTTTAAAAAACAAAAATCTATTTAGTTTTATTACAGCAGTACAGGACACTGTAGATGGCGGTTCAAATTCTGCCCGTGTTGTTATACCCTTTAAATGAAAATAGATTTTATCATATATAAAGGTCAAGAGTTTGTTAGTTAATCGCTAGTCTCAGAAACTACTGGTTCGAAATGAAAAAATATGTTTGTGTTGGTTAAAGCATTTGTCGAGGAAGGCAATGTTAATATAATATAACATTTCGCTTTGAATAATAGAAGCGAAGAAACAGCGAGAAATGTGGAAAAAGCGGGGAAAATTATTCATTTTCGTGGGTAATCGTTGAGTGCGCTGCGAAAACGGTTCAAGATACCCAAAAAATATATAGTAATTAATGATCATTACACTTTAAATAATGTAAAAAAATATCCGCAACACATGTCTATCTTTTAAGATTAACTTGCGAAAACGACGGGAGTAACAGCTATAAATAACTCTTCTACGCGGACGAAGTCACTGACACGGCTAGTAATTTATATAGTACTATACTGTGCAATAATGACAATATGTTGAAATGAAAATTTATTAATCAACAATTTTGAAAACATTAATATTTTTCACATGTTATTGCACATGAAGGCACTATATAATTTAAAAATCGAAAATAAATTGAAAAAATTTTCGACTCGGGCAGGACTTGAACCGGCATCGTCAGCTTTCAGAGCAACAGCACGGAAAGCTGACGATGCCGGTTCAAGTCCTGCCCGAGGCGAAAATTTTTTCAATTTATTTCCATTTTTAAATTAATCAACAATTGTTGAGTAAAAACGTATAGCTTTGCTTTAGTTTATCTGAGTTTCCTAGTATTCCATACAAGAAATTAAATAACACCTGGAAAAATATACCAGTGTAGGCAAGACTTGTTAATACCAATAAAAATACGAGTTAATGACAAAGCGATTGGCATTGACTGGGCTGACCTTTGAATAATAAATCAATAGTTCATCAACCATCGGACTGAGTTATATTATGATTAATACCAAACGACAATATAAACAATTAATTTATGTTGTGTATAACAGTTTGGAAAGTATACGTGAATGTATATAAGATAGTTATAAGATAAAGTTTTAAGAGGGAGGCGAGGTAACCGAACCCAATGAGTGTAGTGCAACTGATTTATTTCCTATCAATGATGTTTTAAAATTTATAAAAAAGTGGGAAGGTAGGATGCTCACTAAGCTAACGTTATAATATTTGCTTTTAATATAAACACTTGAGTGAGCACAGCGTTGACATAGATTTAGATTTGTGCTAGCTATGCTAGAAAATAATATTATAATAAAGACACAGTAAATTTGTACGGGCGTTTGTCCGTACAATTTATATAAATAAACAGTTCAATAGATAATAAAGTAGTAAATAAAATTTTTACCGTATCATAAGCAAAATACAACGCCATTGAATATATTAATAATGATTACGATATACAAATTACCATTATAACTAAAAAGGAGATTAGAAACTGGATTACTTTTTTTGATTAGTTAATAATAACTTTCAAACAAGTCTAACTAAAATATCTCGCGTTTTAAACCGTTAAGGTGTTTAATTTAAATTACATTTGCTATTTTTATGAATAAAGACACTACTGTAATTAGGTATCTATTTGCTTGCCTTAAGAAGAAGAAAAAATATACATAAAAAAGTACAAAACACATTCGGAATAACACAACGACCTATTAATTTACCCGATTACAGGATATGTACCTTTGGTGACGTAAATACTGTAACAACATATTTTTTTCGTAAACATACTAACTAATCACCCATATGACATGAAACGCACATAGTACCGCTGTATATAGATAAAGTTTTTAATTATAAAACTGCGACATAATAAAGAGTGATTTTATTTTTTCAAATCACCTTAAATCATCAACCAACCAACAATCAACCAACCAAACTAAAGCAACAAGTCCACGTTCTGTACAGTGATTTTTAATGGTAGAATTTCAAATTTGAAATCAATCATACTTATTTGATTCATCATTAAAATATAATTGAAATCATAGCGTATCTAGTAAGTATAGAAAAAGACGGAAATTTTTAAATAACATGATAGGATAAAAAAATATACTCATTATTTTTAAATTACAACCATTTCTATATAAGAAAAGATTATTTATATTACGAAACGCTTGACAACCCGTATATCTAAATCAGCTAAATGTTTTAAACTCTATAGTTTACATACACAAACAGACTGACAAAATGATAATCCTTATTTTCTTCGTCGTCGGACAAAAATTAAAAGCAAAATTCACACAATAAAACGTGCATGTCAATCTCTGTTGTTTTTATAACTATGTACTTAATATTAATGAAAACAACAGAATGAGCGACTAGTATTATTATAGTAACGAGAATAAGAACTAGGTGATATTGTAAGTAATAACCTATGCTCTTGTAGTGTTACAACACAAAGAAATACACATACAAATGTGCTCATAACTTATTTATGTTTTATTTAATCAACACGGTATCTAATTTAGACGGAATTTATCGCCATTGATATTGACAAGTGTTTCAGTGTGTTTGTGATGGATGTGTTAAGGAAGAGTTACCAACAACTTGATGAGAATGAGAGGGAAAAGAAAACCTCAGATCGAATCATATTGGGTAGACAGGTCAGTCTTAATTTAAGGAAAAAGAATAAAGATTTATAATAATTTTTCCGATTAATAAATTTAAATTCTTACTCAGACGTGAAGTAAAACAACGTTTGGAGTTTTATAACTTGTTGACGTTTGTTAACGATTATGTGGCTGAATTTAATGTTTACTTAGGACATTTCTACGTCTCTATACTTTTATTAATTAAAAATACATTTAGATTTAAAAAACATTAACGATACCTGCTGGTCTTTTACCGGCATCTACGGCGTTTGTACTGCTCTAACTAATTGCACTAACGTGTCGCACAAGACCATAATCAATTATTTTCACACCACAGAAAGTACATATTAATGAGGAAAGAAAAATCTTACTTACTAACTTATAAATAAAAGGCGGTACTAAATTATTTCCAGATCCTAATTTCGAGTAGTGTTTGGTCCAGTTTTTTCATGTTTGGTCTTTGTATGGGAACACCAACTATATACATAAGCCAAACGAGACAAGAAGCTAACTCCACAGAGGTCCTTTCTAATGAGATGACTTCATGGATAAGTAAGTGAAATAATATTAATTTCTGAAATGTAAAATGTTTACAGTAACGTGAAAATGGATTTTTCGGTTGTTGTAATTTAATTTATTGATTAATCACATAAAGTAATTTTGGTGAGTCAAAGTTAAATATGACTTGTATAGTATAAACGAATGTAACGTATAAAACAGTTTTTATAATTTATCGTTTCCTACTCTCCTGGTTGATATTTATAATTTCTAGTTTGCTTTTTTATATTTCATAGTCTCCCTGGTTCAATAGCTAAGATGGGACTGAACACACATTTCTTACTTTCTTTTTTTTCCTTATGCATGCTTACAGTTGTTATAAAAGTACTTCAATAAATTTACGTTAGGTAAGCAATAAATAAATGATTTGTTTCTTACTACAGGCTCTGCTTACAACTACAGCGCGATACCAAATCTGTTTATCGTAGCTATCCTTTCAAGATATATCGGAAGGAAGAAAACCTTTCTATTCGCATGCTTAACATCAGCCGTTGGATTCATCACTTTATACTTAAGCACATCAGTAATCCAAGTCATTATTGGTGAAATAATCCAAGGTACACTAATAGCATGTGATGGTATGATATGCGTTATGGTGTTAACTGAATACACGTCACCACGATACCGAGGGTTCTTCTTAACATTCAAGTCAGCAACTTTTGGCTGGGGTATGCTGGTAGCCAACACCATGGGCACTTTCCTCCATTGGAAATCGATAACTGTACTAGGTTTGACGTGTGCCTCTTATGCCTTTCTAACTTGCTTATTCTGGCCAGAATCGCCCTATTGGCTGGCAAGTAAAGAAAAATATGACGAATGTACCAAATCACATCGTTGGTTAAAAGGAAATCAAGAGGAGTCAATAAACGAGTTGAACTCCCTCTTGAAAACCCACAAGGAGTACAGTCTAATCAAACAAGAAAAGAGTCAAAACAGAACAAAGAAGACACTAACGGCTTTGTTTTCAAAAACATTCTATAAACCCTTCGGATGTACAATGTTGATGTTATTTTTGTATTACTTTTCTGGAAAAATGGCGTGTAATGTTTACGCTTTGCAGTTGATTAAGGGTGTAACTAAAAGCGACTCGACAGCGTACACAGGGATGTTAGTTATAGATGCCGTCACGGTCTTCAGCATGTACTTCACCAGTATAGTAGTTAGGTTTTACAAACGAAAGATGCTATTCATAACGACATCTTTAATCGGCATAATGTTTTTGTTGTCTATGTCTCTTTACTTGTACTTATGCCATCTAGATTTATTTGAAATAAATAACTTTATCTTTCTGGGACTTCTAACGTTATATATGGTTGTGATTAGTAGTGGTCCGATAACGATTAGTCCTTCAATAATAGCAGAACTATGTCCCCTGAAATATCGGGGTCTTTTTATGTTGCTAATGGAATTGGTGGATAATATAATAATGGGTACAGTAGTTAAAATATTACCGTTTCTATTGAGTGCCATAGGTGCTCATGGCACCTTTTTCTTCTACGGAGGCTCGTCGCTTTTCCTAACATTACTTATTTTCTATTTTATCCCTGAAACAAAAGATAAAACAATTATAGAAATTGACGCGCTTATGAGCTGAAAGCATAGTATTTTTTATTATTTAATATTCCATCTTTTTGCTATTACTATCTAAAGATTAATATAATATCTTTGATGTACATGTAGTTTATTTTTATATAAAAATAAGTTTTATTCCCTAAATCATTATTTGCCATTATTCTTAAATTGTTATCATCTTTTAGTCGTGATATGGTACAGACTACAAGTTTGAATCCTAAATTGTGTCCTTCTTGGTGGTATTACGGTGGAATATACCAAATAAAGTATTTTAGCAATTAATATGCATGTTTATTTTATTGTTTTAGTACATGCAAGAATTGCTGTTGTAAATTTATTTGAAATTAAGCAGTCTATCAATAAGTTAAGCTGATTCTGACTTTTCGAAATAAAAAAACTAAGTGATTAAATTTCCAGCTTAATCAAGACACAAAAGGTTTCTCAAGCCGTCAGTCAGCTCGTTCTTTCGTCTAGAATTCGCAACCGTAGTCTGGGCACGTTTGTCGCGAATTTACGGTCGATTCATTCGATATTCGATTATTAGGCATTGATCCTTTTAAAATTTCGCTTTTTATTCGCCATCGGACAGCGCTGCTCAATTGACTTGAACGAGAATTAATTTTCTGATAATACGCGGCGGGAATTTTTAATTCGTTAATTTGTAATGGTAGACATTATTTGGAACGTGATCGAAATCATTTATGTCCAGTTTAAATTTATTTTTCTCCCTATTTAGCAAGAATACTTTTTACGGTCATAATAAAAGTAATAAATTATATTTTAAGAAATTGTATTAATTAATTTCCTTGCTGTCAGGTGGATTCTTCAGATGCTTTCCCTTCTAAAACAATAAAAAACTTATTTTTTAGAGAAATATCATTTTTTATATATATCTTGCACCAGTAGCGATATGTATAGAATAGAATAGAATGAATTCATAATAATTAACTGATTTTACAAACATAATAGAAGTATTATAAATATAGTATTATACGACTAAATACAGATAAGATAAAAGGATACAGTCTCCCAACACTGATTTTGTGGCACCATCAGAGGCCCAGCTTTTTCTTACACAATACACAAAAACTCAAGACAGTCACATTTATTAATAAAAATATAAATTTAAACAATAATATTGTAGTTATATTGTAATAACATAATATTTGTAGTTCATATATTCTATTATATCAAGCCACAAGCGCTCATCTCGCGGCTTTGCACAAAGTCCAGAAACAGTCGTTTAATTAAAACTTGTCTATGGAGTTACTAGGATCGTCCGAGTTACATTAGCTCTCTGTTTACATTGTATTAACTGGTATTAGTTTAGGTAAGCTTCACAGCGGATGTGCTGTGGTCAATCGAGGATGGTGGCTGTGTTATAACAGACTGCACTATTCTTCATTTATAATTAATTCCGAATATTCAGCCCAAAGTAGGTGACAACTTGTCTAGATGTTTATGGCTGGAGTATTTCACTTCTTTTTATCTTTTCATCTTGTTTTTGTCACCATGATGAATGGTCAAGCAGATTTAACGCGATTCACGAACAATCATAACAAGACACAAAATACTAGCGTAATCTACATGTGAAGTTAATACTGGCGTAAACTACAGATCTTGATTATCCCTGATGTTAGCTTAATAGCAAAGTTATGGTATCAAAGTATTTAATTTATAATATATTCTAATAACGATAAAGGTAAACAAAAAAGTAAACAATATAAGTAAAATATACGTATTGCCTGGTTTTGGAGGTACTCTTGTGCCGTTGTCTACTTCGCTGTGGCAACAGTGTATTAAATGGTAGGAAAATTAAAACACATTACTTATACTAAATTCGTATGCGTATGACATACAAAGAAACGTTGAATATGTAAACAAGGCCTCTCTTTAAACCGCCCTCTTTCCCTCCGCAACAATTAGTGCGTAAAATATTCACTGGCGCAGCCTTACACGAGTTTGATAAACTCGATGTAAAGTGAACACAAATTCATATAAATACTTACATTCAAATATCAAACAATTTCAGTTCACAGAATTCTCTTTTGATGTTTTATCTATTGAGATTTAAGTGTGTAATAACGGAATATAACTTCTTGAGAGTAGGTACACGCCGGTGTCAAAGGTTTCTATTAATATTTAAACTGGCGCTTAATTGAGGAAAAATCGGTGCCGAATATAAGAAAGCTGTAGAAACTTCTAGATGACGAATTGCTTTTTTTAAATTTCTATTTGAGGTTTTACTGTACTGAATATAAATGATTACAGGGTTAATTGCACCAAATTATTATCTTTTTGTAAGTACATTGAGAAACATTCAAAAATTCGACAGCATATTGTATGAGTGTGTACAGGTACGGTATATTACTTTAACTTCTAAATTCAGCGTTGAAAATAATATCAAAATTATTTAAATTATTGTAAATATTACAGTAAACTAGGCGATTTCAAAACTAACATATCATTATATACTAAAATACCATCATAAACCAAGAATAAATAAATAAAAATCACATTTGGCAAACAGTATCGGAGTTCAAGCAATCTAGATAGTCATAAAATGAGATATAAAAATATATTCCAAGAATTAGTGTTTAAAGAGATGCGAAGGTACAATGGCGTTATCTGGTCCGACTTGGCAGACTTGGCTATTGCCTTCTGTTGTGAGAAAATTAAATTACCCCATTAAGTGCCTGCCTTTGATGGCTGCTTCATACCCACCGCGTTTTTAGCGTACAGCGAACGCGATCCGTGTTTAACGATTCTAGTCTTGACTTTTTGCTCTTTCTGAGGCTGTGACATAGTGAAAGCATTTAAAAAGAATTTTCAGATTTATTAACTGCTCATGGTTTACGTCTCGTCCAACATTGCATTACGCGCGAGAAGCCCTGGGATGGAATCCGGAGAAACGATAGATAATTTCGGTCGAACAGGGCACTTAAGTCTGATCAACAACTTGCCTTGATAAAACCGATCAGGGTAACAGACACAGACATATGTTTGCTCCATTTCCCTTTTATAGTTAATATATTTATGTATAAGATGCAGGTTTTTTCGCAAATTCTCTGTCAGTGTAGATTTAAAACAAACACGTAGAAACAAAAGATTTCCATAGGTATAAAGCAATAGTCTGCACGTAGGTCATAGCTTAAATAGTTGAATAATTGTTTTACCAGCACTGTATTAAAAAAAAGATATCCATAAATACATAATCATCCGAATAGACTCAGCTCGTGTGAAACGCCCTAAGCCCATTTCGAAGCGATTGAGCGGACTGAGTAATGTTTTCTTAACTCGCTGCGTACATTAGAGCATCTTGCATTTGTTGTTATGTCTTGAAGTGCGCACAGAATTTCGTTATAAATTTACTTAATGTTTCGAGAGAATGTCTGCGTTAACGCCGATCATTCGGACTTAATGAATTTCTTACATCACTTTATAAAAGCCACGCTATTTGGATTTACTCCTAAATTTAAGAGGGTAGCTATTTTTAGTATGAATAATATTAAATACATTGTTCTAGCTAATGCTTTTTCTAGACAGCCACTTCTAAGTAAAAAAACGTAGGAAAAGTTGAAGGAGGGCAACATCCGAACGAAGCTCATAAACCTATACATACTTCCTTACAATTAATTAATAACTAACACTAACTCAGATCATGATTATTTAAATAAATGACCGGTATAGCCAAAGATCCGCTTTTCAATCATGATTCAAAAAAAAATTCTTGTCTTAATTAATATAAACCACAAAAATAATATTTTTACCTCACCTCGTTTAAGTACAATGCTTTGAATTTAAATGTATAATAAAATACTTTAAGGAAAATCTTTTTTCAACTCGGTTATGCCATTAACAGATATTATGAAAGTAATATCGCAAGCGCCGCATAAAATAAACAAAGGAAAACCACTGGAAGAAAGCTACTTGATATTCTAACTCGATACCTCCACATTTTACATGCCTGACACGCTGCCTCAGCAAACTTGGCAAATTAATTAAATCATATTAATTTCCCAAAGTTTACGAATACAGTGTCAAGACAATTTACACTCGGCTAATATTGTTTCTCGATTTCACTTCTTCGCCGCACAATACGCTGCCAGTTCCCAAAGTGTTTATCTATTTAGCTGTACATTGAATACATCTATATTTTTATAATACATTATATTATGTAAAAGTATATGTATGAGTAAGTGTGCTAAGCAAAACCAAAAACGAAAAGAAATCAAAATTAAAATGAAAAATCCTTTATTACTTGGTACGCTTATGAACGTCACACAAGCAAAAAACTAAAGTTTCTAAATTTACATTTACTAGCAATTCTCAAATCGAGAGCGTAGAAGGAACGAGAAGAACTGGCAAAAAACTCGCCGCCACTGTTTTAACGCCAAGTTTTACTTTACAGTCTCACGTACATTAAGTGCACGACATATATTTTCTTGTTAGTGAAATTTTAGACCCACGAATTTTATCATTTAACTATTTCATAACACACCCCACGAGTTTTATCATTTACATATTTCATAACGTAACAACATATTATATAACTATAGGTACATGTATACATTATGCATATATGCATACACATACGAAAAAGATTTATTTTCTTATACTCTTCGGTTTTCCGTTTCACCGCGGTTCGCTAACGCCGTCAGATTTTATTTCCCTTTTAAGCCTAATGGACTCGCATAGTTGTAACGAGTCTTACAGAATAAGAGAAATGATTTTGCCGAATCGTCTTTCGCTTGACTGCGATTCAATACCTGAAGCGAAGGAACCTTTTCATCTAACTACAGTTTGAGAAGCGCTGGCTCTAGGGTCGGTTTAATTAATAAATTCGCCGGCGTATAATTTCTCAGAGAAAATAAAGCGATTTTGTTATCGTGTTTGTGAAGTCAGACATTCCGCGCCGCAATTTGAGTTGCTGACGCCTCTCTTTCAAATTATTTTTATTTGTTTGTTAAACGTTATTTATGTTCTTTGTAATATGAGTTAATTAGCTTCCAATATTATGAG